AAAATCTTTATGTAAAAGATTACAGATTAACTTTTTTCCTTCTGTTTAAAGCACGGCGAACTTTTGACGTTCTGAACGCTCTAAATCCGTTTATTCAAGCGCTTGTTTATCTCAAAGTTTAATCAATTCTTCAACAAATTTTTATTACAACTTTTCTCGTAATATTTTCCTTTCACTGATATCAAACTACCATATAAAAACAGTTTCGCTTCAGCTATAAAATCAGATAGTATATCGATAGATATACCACGGTGTGTATTTTTGTTAACTAAAACCAACTACCACATGTTAATAAGCCTGCTGTGAGACACCTTCCTTACACTTTTAAGAATCACACAAGAAATTCCTGCAAGCGATGACTCACACAGTCTTTAATCATAAGAAACAGGTAAAACCCTCACATATACACCCTACATATAAAACCTTCCGAAAAATGTTTCATCCCAAAAATATAAAACTTCAGGTATATTATGTTAAACCCCTCCTGTAGCGCAACGCTCCACTGCCTCTCTCTTTGCCTGAGCTGTCTGAACTTATCGAAATGTTTATCATTTATCATTCGCTATACGATTCTCTCACGCGTTGTGGTTTGCGGGGTTACAGTAACTTGTTTTATTTTTTAATTTGCCTTTTTTATGACTGACTAGATTCTCTGATTTACAAGTACTTTATGATAAGTGTATACATGTCGTACTTGAGTGAATACTTTAAACTTTTAAATATTCATGTTGTTTTTTTACCGTGCGAAAAATAAGGTTTCAAAAACTGCATGGATTTTGAAAAGCTATACGTCGAGAATTTATGTTTACATTGCCATACTGTCCTAACTTCTTTTTTGAACTGTTAGCTTGACAATAAAATCACGTCCTCACATTTTGAATTTAAAATAATGAATTCTGTTGGGTTTTTATAAAACCAAATGTGAATTTCTGTACTACTTAAACTTTGTAATTTTAATTAGTTCTCCTTTTCTTTTGGAGACTTCTAAATCAATATTCAAAAAATCATTTACAAAATGTATGCCAGATACGCGAGGAATCATACGATTTATTAATTGAACACTTAATTGATGTGAATTGCGTAGAAATATCTCTCACTTAAGCAAGTCAGTAGTTCTGGAAGTTCCAGGCAATTTTCCCTGAGAACGCTGAAGGGGGCTTATCAAAAAGTTCATATGTTACGAATTTTTCATTCAATCTATTGCAAGGATGCTATAAACACCCTGGTGAAGAATCTTCGCTCTTTGGTGATCAAAAAATCATTAAAATTTCAATAATTTTTGAAAAATAAAATTCCCAATTGAAAAAAGCCTATAAGTTGAACACACCTGATCTCCCCTCTTGAAGTTAAATGGAACGTTCTAGATTGGAATCTCCAAAAATAGTCAGGTAGCATATGTAAAGGTAAACCAGAGTATTTTACAGGTAGCAGTGGAAACATAAACGCGCTCGGAATATATCTTCTGTACTTCATTTTATTGCAGTAAAATTGTCTTACTAATGAATAAATAACGACCAGCGGCGGTGTGTGAATGGAGGGGGGGAGGAACCAAGTCTAAGTAGTAACTTAGATAAAACTTAAATAAATAAACTTAAGATTACAGGAAAAGATATGATTTTTTTTAGATACTATGTCATCAAAACTTGTATCTATATTATTACATATCGATCAAATTTATTGATTTTTTTTAATAATACCAGGTACGTATATTAACGTACCTGATAATACCATCTACCATTTCAAGATCCCATCTCATATCTACATGATCAGCATTGATTTCTGATATCGATCTATCGGTTTAGTGATAAATACGGAGGTATTGATTTGGTGATCGGATCGTGTAAACAACTGCAGTGTACTACATGTATATACACAAGCGAATAAAAAAAAACAACGTCATCACGGTCTATTCATCATTTAGATCTATACTGAAACGGTGCACTTTTGCAACACTTAAAATAAATTCTGCGTGGGATATATAACCTTGCAACTTGTCAAAATTACTTAGACAGGCAGTGTCTCTTTTATAATGGAAACACTTAATCTTGCTTGAAGATCAGCTTTCAGTTTTAAGTACATAAACAAGTATTATATTTTATAACAAGGGCTAAGATTTACGTTACTGCATAAAATTAAATTGTTAAAATCTTACCCAATGAAAAAAACGTTTTCTGTATATTTGCTTTTGTTCGATATTAATTGTTTCAAATATCACAGGTAGCAAATTTTGAAGAGATATGTTAATAATATTTAAGTTTTTTTTATGTTATTGTTGTTGTTTTTAGGGGGTTGTATCAGTAAAGGGAGGAGGGGCTATTTTTAGTTTTTTTTTAACAATAAATGGATTATAGTATCCATTTAAATTCACCATCTCGATCAATTAAGTCATGCTAAAATGCATTCGCTCCATTAACCCAACAGAAAATAAGTTGTAAACCTTTAAACTAAAACTCCACTTTTATTTAAGTTAGACATGATAATTTAGCGCTAAATCCCGCTGGTATGTATAAAATGCAAGTTTTATTTCGCCACAGGTGGCGTAAATTAAACGAAAAATTGAAAACTAATATCAAGGTGTGTGACAAATTGATGAGGGGTATTTTGACCATTACGGGAATTTTGACTGGCTTATATTAACTTAGATTCTTTCAAAGTACCTTACAATGGTCAAAGTTTTCCATCTATATAATTGAGCCGCGTCACGACAAAACCAACATAATGGGTTTGCGATCAGCATGGATCCAGACCAGCCTGCGCATCCGCGCAGTCTGATCAGGATCCATGCTGTTCGCTATCAGTTTCTCTACTTGTTATAGAGTTGTAAGCGAACAGCATGGATCCTGATCAGACTGCGCGGATGCGCAGGCTAGTCTGGATCCATGCTGGTCGCAAACCCATTATGTTGGTTTTGTCATGACACGGCTCATATTAAGATGATTTTGGTAGATAAAGGTGCAAAGAACAAATTACAAATTCTATTAAAACCCTCAAATGTGTTCAACATCCGGCATTATGTATATACATGTATAGTAATTTTCTTTAAACAATTTCTCGAAATTGCATGCTATTTTCAATTCTGTTTGCGCAACTTAATAAAAATATAAAAAACATGAGGTGTTTATAAATGTACTATTTATATAATAGTTGTAAGAAAGAAGTAATTTGTCAGTGCCAAGTTTTATTGCACTTAGAGATAAAGGAATTCTTAATCAAATTAGCATACGCCAACGTGCGTTTCAGGTTTTATATAAATGTATTAAAGATTTTACAGAATAAACAAATACCGACGTATTATCAAAGGGTCGAATAAAAACTAACATATACGAGGAATATAGTTAAATACATAGGCCAACGACAGTTTATCTCAGATCAGCAAAAAATAAAATAAAATTAAGAAATAAAAAAAGGGAAAAAAACAACGTTTCTTAAAAGCGAAAAAGAATCGTCTCGTTTTAAAGATCCTGTATGTTTTGTGATTGATATTGTTACTGTGTGTATACCACACTTGCAAAAAATTATATATGTATATAATTATGCAAATAAAACAATTTTCAAACATCGAAGAATATGTAAAATGTGTACTGCAAATATTTGTGCACATTATATTCAATCAATAACTTACATGCATTCATTTCTTATTGGAAAATTTGACTTAGAATTTATAGAAAATAATTTTCTAATTACCTCCCTTTATTTACATGAAATGTTAAATTGGGTAATATCTTTATGGAACCTATAATATTGACAAATATTAATTTGAGCATCATATTTATGAAATAAAACCATGAACAAATTGTGTTACAGGATCTTTAAAACGGCTTTTTCCCGGGTTATCAGATTTAAACACATGACCTAAGGTTGTAAAGGTAGAAATTTATGTAGAGCCATTGTAAAACAGGTGTACATAACTTTAGCATGTAACAAGTTGTTAAAACATATATATGGACAATTTTGAGTCACCAGCGGTCACTCACTGTCTATATTCTTGTAAAATGTAGCCAAAACATTTGTTCGGACACATTTAACAAATTGCCCGTCCATTAGTTCACAGGCGTAGTGATACAATGTCAAAAGTAGGTCGTTAATTACGAGTGTCAAGGTAAAGAAATGCACCTCCGGCGTACCATAGTTTCACACCCGCCCATTATAAATGTAGAAAGTTCCCGCCTTTTATCAAATTTTAGTCCAAAAGATCGGGCATCAACCTTAAAAATGTTTATTATCAATTTAAGATTATATACTGCTCAATTTTCATAACTGCACGCCTACAAATACATGTATATTTTGTACTTACATAATACAAGTAAGGACTTATTGTTTATTGTGTTGTGTTTCTTTTAATAATCACACACATGTTTTATTCTTTAGATCTTTGTCAATCGAGCTACTGTAATTAGATACTTCATTAGATCATGGCCAGTGCTTAAACAACTGGGGAAATATCATGGTCCTAAGTAGAAAAAAATCACTTTAACCGGAAACGTAACTAAAAAACAAACATGTTTTTCAGCCACATTGTCCAAGTGTGTTGTACTTTTAGGAAAAGTTATAAGTAACTCTTCACATGTGTGTGAATGTATTTGCGTCAGTCTGATCAGAATGATCTCCCCTTCTTTCTAATAGAAATAGGTGATTTTCAGAAACACTGTTTAAGACGTGGTTTTACCGTTGTGAATTATAATAAGGATGATTGTTCCTGATATTTTCACATGGATAACATATTGTAAAACATTTGTTTATATTCATAAGCTAACAAATATGAATACTTTATTCATTCGCTGTATCCTAGTTGATGATTGTCGGAGACCGGAACCCGTATATTAGTAGGTCCCGGCAAATAACGGGCAAAAACAGTGAATAGCCCATAGATTTACCGGAAGTCGAGGTGAAAAATATAGCCTACGGCCAAAAAAGTGACAATTTAAAGGAAAGCAATTGTAAGGGTCTAAATAACATATTCGACATAATACGTGCATAACTTTTAATGTAATTATAAATACCTTGTGTTGTAGAATCGTCGGCACTTGGAGGTTGCACGGTATTTATCTGCGGCGTTGGTAGAGTAGGTCTTGGGGTCGGTTTACCAACGGGAAATAGATCGCCGCCGATATTTGTTGAGTCTCCACCTTCGGCTGTAAGGACATCCCGACGAACATTCCAAATTTCAAAATTTTCAATAGTTGTATCAGCGTACCTGAAGAGCGTGAATTTTTAAAATGAGTTAAATTTAATATTTAATATAATAAATATTTTTAAAAAAAAAATACATTTAGCATATTTAGAAGATTCTTAATCTTCTTATTTTGCGCACAAACAAAAAAAAAATGTAATTAATAAATTTAACTTCATTTGTTTTAAGAAGCATTATTTATGACTAAGATCTTTCAAATATACATTTAAAAAACCCCAAGGTTTTTACTCTTATATGCAGAAGGGTTTTTTTTTTGCATTTTTTTGTTCTTATAATAATTTTTAATTAAAGAACCATGAAAGGGGTTTAAAACCCCCTCCGGAAAAGTAAGAAAAACTTTCTATTTAACTTTTATAAAACCAAAAATTCATAAATTAAAAAAACATAAATACCTTTCACTCCGCATCTCGGTAAAGGCTTTACCAAACACCGTGTCTCTTGTGTAATCATATACGGGTTCGATACTAGTGCCGTGAGTTTTATGAGCCCCGACTTCCTCGTCATTCACATACATGGTCAACCCTGTAAAACAAAACATTCATTGACCATTGATTGCAATACATTTTGATGCTGAAGATCGGATACTGCCCAAACAGGTGCTAGGGGGGACTTGGAGGATGTTACACCTTCTGCTATCGTTCATGACTTTCTTGTCATTAACATACATGGTAAACTCTGTAAAAACAAGATGTTCATTGACCATTGATTCAAATACTTTATAGTGTTGAAGATCGTATACCGCTTAAGTCGGTGCTAGGGGGCGTAAGGGATGTTATCCTTTCAATAATCGCCAGGAACAATCAAACTTAGTCCCCGATTTTCAATTGTTTCTTTTGCACTCGAGGGATCTCCTCTTTTAATTTTTTCTCTCTCTCTCTTCCTTGCTCTCGCCACAACGGCTGAGATTTTGATGACACGTGACTGGTACTTCCGGTTGATGGCGCCACCTTCAATGATTTCTATTGTTTTTGTTGCTCTCGAGAGATCAAGAACCTTTATAATATGACTTACATATGACTTACTTACAAAATGTGGAATAGATATTTAGTTTTATGGTTTCTTTTTTGTTACATACACTATTTCTAAACATTTTTAATTAAAAAGTAAACACCATACAGTCAAAACATGTGAATAAATGCCATCCAAAGGAGAGTAAACGCATGCCCTTTATATACAAGTGGTCTTTATTTGGAGTTTACTCTGTTCTATTTTAATCAATGGTTTGTCAGTGTGGTCTTTATTTACAGGATGGTCAGTATTCGTAGGTGGTTTTTAACACCGGTGTGATTGTATTAGTATAATTATTAGCATCATATCACAATTTTTAGTATATATGCATTTTATTAGTTACCTCAACGGTATGGTATGTTAGTTTAACTTTCTCTCTGATAAAATCAATTTGTAAATATAATTTTAAAAGATATCTTTTTTGTATTATCAAATATAAAAATCAGCAATGTCAAAAAATCTACAATATATAAATGTAAATTATTTGCGTTTTATTTACTTGAGTCTTTAAGATAATATATGCAGCAAAATTGACCCTCCGTTATAATATGGCATTTAAAAAAAAATCTAATATAATAGACTATTTTTATATATTGGTTTACCGATTTCAGGATGCCACGAGATGTCCACAACCTGCCATTCTCCGGTCTTCAAGCCCGGGGCTCCCACCGTCCACGTCTTTGTGCTCGTTCTTATTGTAGAATATAGCTTCCCGTCCCTGCAATACATTATGGTATTATTAATAAAGATTTTTTGACAGGTTATATGACCCAATTAAAACGGTTATATGGTAAAACAACCGACGCCGCATATACCGATTGTTACAAACGCTCTTTAATTATGATAAACGTTATTGTTTGACTATGAAATAAAGAAGTTGACACACTTAGTTAACTTAATTGTCTTAGTTAACCAATCTGACATTCTGATAACTGACTGCAAGAGATTTCCTTTTCCATGTACCCCACCCACAACCCCGAGATCAACAGAAGAATGTCTGAGATCACTCTTATTACAGTATGTCTGAAATCAATAATGACAGACTCTGTGATCAGTCTTATGGCAGAATGTCTAAGATCAATCATAAAAAATACTGTCTGTGATCACTCTTATGTCAGAATGTCTGAGATCAATCTTATGTCAAAATGTCTTAGATCAATCTCATTACACAATGTCTGAGATCAATCTTATGTCAGAATGTCTGAGATCACTATTATGACAGAATGTCTGAGATCACTATTATGACAGAATGTCTGAGATCACTCTTATGTCAGAATGTCTGAGATCAATCTTATGTCAGAATGCCTTAGATCACTATTATGACAGTGTGTCTGAAATCAATCTTATGACAGAATGTCTGAGATCAATCTCATGACACAATGTCTGATATCACTAAATTATGACAGAATGTCTGATATCACTATTATGACAAAGTGTCTGATATCACTATTATGACAGAATGTCTGATATCACTAAATTATGACAGAATCTGATATCACTATTATGACAAAGTGTCTGATATCACTATTATGACAGAATGTCTGATATCACTATTATGACAGAATGTCTGATATCACTAAATTATGACAGAATGTCTGATATCACTATTATGACAGAATGTCTGATACCACTATTATGACAGAATGTCTGATATCACTTTTATGACAGAATGTCTGATATCACTATTATGACAGAATGTCTGATATCACTAAATTATGACAGAATCTGATATCACTATTATCACAAAGTGTCTGATATCACTATTATGACAGAATGTCTGATATCACTATTATGACAGAATGTCTGATATCACTAAATTATGACAGAATCTGATATCACTATTATGACAGAATGTCTGATATCACTATTATGACAGAATGTCTGATATCACTATTATGACAGAATGTCTGATATCACTATTATGACAGAATGTCTGATATTACTTTTATAACAGTGTGTCTGAAATCAATCTTATGACACAATGTCTGACATCACTATTACGACAGAATGTCTGATATCACTGATATGACACAATGTCTCATATTACTTTATGACAATATGTCTGATATCACTATTATGACAATGTGTCTGATATTACTTTTATGACAATGTGTCAGATATCACTATTATGACAGTGTGTCTGAAATCAATCTTATGACAGAATGTTTGAGAGGAATTTCAGGCCAGGACGTCCGGGATCAAAATATTAGAAAGGCTGAGATCAATCTTATGTCAGGATATCTTAGATAAATATTTTACTATACTTACCGGTAAAATATAGAAACTGGATAACTGTCAAGATAGTACATGTTATTAAGGAGCTTCTCTGGTTTCACAGCAAACCTCATTGTGAATCCTTGGTTACAGTTGTCAAGGTTACCGCCGCACGTGAGATTCTCACCCATATCCATGTACTGACCCCTTCCACCAAGCCTAACAAAGATATAACCACACAATGGACCATGAGTAAGAAAAAAAGAGAACATTTTTAAATAACCTGTAATTAATTACAAATCTGATAAAAATATCTTAGTTTAAGTTAATTACATGTAATAAGTATACATGTACTGTTTAATGTACAATGTATTAAAGACGAAAAAATGATTATAAAAATATCATTTGTTGCTATGGTAATACAATTATGCTGTCAAAACACAATAAAAGTTTATTATCATATGATAATCGACAATGACCTGATCGCCCGACCGTGTTGGCCTTGTACAACGCTGGCACCGCCTTGCAGACTTATCGTTCTTGTTGGTAGTTTAAGAACGCCGCTAGATGGCATCTGACTGAGCGGAACTACTTCATGTATTCGACCTAAAAAAAGATCCAATTTTATATACTGATTACTTAACAATGTTTCATTCATTCATCTCTTTATTCTTTTTACCCAAATATATTTCATGTGATATATATCAATTATTATTTTTAATTCAATTTACCCAAACAAATGTTTGAAATTCATAAAGATTTCCAAATTTGCCCACCATTCATTTATGTTTTCAATTTTCATAAATATATTTTAAATGAAATGTATTCATTTGTCTATTATGCATTTTGCCTAACTGTACTGATAATGAAACGTATTAATATTAAATTTTTACCGCCATTTATTCCTTGAGAACGAAGCCTTTCCATGTTAGCGTACCAAAACTGTACTTCATCCGCCATCATGTTGGCTGTTCCATCAATGTTCTTGTCCGAAGGTTTCCCAATATAAAGACTTCCGGTCTGTGGTTCATCACTTTGCATCAATTCAGTTGGTTCTCTGTCTCGATCCATCAATCTATCGTCTACGTACATTTTAAGCCCTCGATCTTCATCCCAAGAAAGCTTGATATTATTCCAATCGTTCAGATGAATATTTCCGGAACTTACAGTCCATGCTTTATCAGTCGACATGAATTTTGATTTTAATTCTCCGTTGTCCAGGTAAAGGGAATAAGACGGACTGGATAAAAAGTACTGATTCGTTCTCAAACTTCTTGGATACAACCATAATGAGATCGTTAGTCCATGTTTACATTCAGCAATGTTGGCAAAGCATTTATCCATATGTTCACCAAAGTCAACGTAATCCCCATTTCCTTGCAGGGAAACAGCATTTCCGATTTTACCGGGTACCAGTCTTGCGCCTCGTTCTAGAGTGACACGATACTTAGGGTGGTCAATGAGTTCACGTGAAGCAGTTTCCATGGAGAATGACTCGTAGCCTACGATTTCTGCGTAAATATGGGTCACATGATTATTTCACCTACCAGTGCTTTAAACAGGCGAGATTTTTCACAATCAAAGTAAAATAATGAATATATGTTCATGTAAGTCCCGTGTTAAGCATGTGCATTCCTTTTATAAATCATTAAATAAAAAAGTATTTTATTGGTTTATTATTCAAATATAGGTCAAGGGCAAAGTTTCAAAGGCGAAGCTTGCATTACTTTAATATCATTCCAATGGTGTCATGGCAAAAGGTCAAGGTTACGTTAAATTCATAATTTCATAACAAATATAACGATAAATGATTAATTTTCATTTTCAGTGGAGTAAAGGGAAATGTAAAGAGCAGAGAAAATTTTTGTATGGTCAAAGGTTCGCCTGTCAATATGTGTCAATTCAGCATATTTTGGCTAAGTACAGCAGGGTCTAAATGGGGATCACAGAGATGGAGGCAAGGTCTTTCGAATCGAAAGACCCAATTAGAGGATAGTTATAGATAAGGCAAAAAGGATCGAGTAAGAAATAGAAGTATTGTATTATGATAATGATGACGTCATACCAAATTTGAAGGGGAGATAAGTACTAGCGTCATTCATCCATGAAAACTGTAAAAACAAACGTCAAGAATTTAAGAATCATGCTCAGTTTTATTATAAAATAGGTAACGTTAATAAAAGAAACAGCTTCTCAAAAAAGGAAGAGATATGTTAAAGGTAAAACTATAAAATTCTGCTTATAAAATTGCTCAATCAAGAAATTTAAGTAAATTATGCTAAGCATTAAAAATGATTTTCATATTATAATCTTGAGAAGAATATAAAAGAATTATATAGACTTATTCTTTATTATAAGTTTACCTTTTAAAAAATGTTCCTATTTGAAATGTATAAATGAAATAGTATGAATCAAACATTAAAGAAAAGAAAATACTAGAAACTAGAATACGAAACTAATATGCAGTGTTAAAGCTACATTAAATAAATATGTTAAAATATTTTTGCCGTCGGCCTAAAAACCAAGCATTCTACAGTTTCATTAACCTTTTTAACAGTATCGTTGTAAATCTCATCAAATATTGTTCATAAATTAGGATTTTAAATGGAAAACCCCACGGTAACACTAAAGTTCGTATACGAATTTTAATTAACATGCAAATGAAGACTATAATCAGCTCGTGTATGCGCTACGTCAACGGTGTTATAGTTGCTACTCAGGAACACAGCAAATATAAGATTTTCATGTGGCAAACACACTTTTACCGTTTAAGGCTTCACGGTGCACTAGGCCTGTGGTTAAGAAAAAAGTAATCAATCTCATAAAAAAGGATTAAATTTGTATGCAAAACATCCGTTACAATGCGGAAATATACCGTTATATAAGGACTCGCTACTTATTGTCATGTTTTGTTTGATTTAATATTGATGTACGGGATTTATCTGAAGGCAGAGTTTCTCATGCAAGACAGAAAATTGTTTCCGAATTCGCCACAATGAGGTTGCACATTTTGTTTCTTTATTAAACTCATTTTTGGTTGTCTGGACACCAAAATAAAGATCGTGGAGTCGATATGAAACCCCAATTTATTAAATGAAATGTCGCTATTTCTTTTTTTATGAAATTTATTTAATGTAGCTTTAAAGACGCTTACATCTATACAGAACATTTCATGCAACATGGATGAGTGGGTGGGGTAGGGGGTGAATTGGGGGAAATGGTGTGTGTTAAAAGGGTAACATCATTTAAAAACAAAATAATAAAAATTAACCAGACCAAACACAAATGCACATGCTTTGACACTAATCATGCTTTAATACAATAAGACATTGTTCAAACACAAATAAACTTTTAAAATGTACTATTACATTTTCTATTAAATCAAATCCATTTACGACTACAACAAAAGTGAATATGTAAGTCCAAAATGCCCTCATTCACAATTCCCATTCTTTACAGTAAAATATAAAAATTGAAAATTGTTTGATAATTACATAACGAAAATTAAAACAGATTATAAATTCATGTGCTTTTACAACATCGATAAATTAAAGATTAAGAAAAGTTCACCATTCTGTACGTAAATATACCTCTGACAATGTAATCAAACGCCAGCAATTCCTCACGTCTACCATACCATATTTCCAGTTCATCAACATTCATAGTAGCGTAATTATACCTTTGACCTCGCACGTCGTCTGCGTTTGGAGCGCCAATGTAGAAATGTTCACTTCCGGTTGATCGTATTTCCGGTATGAAACGATAACTCGCGACCTTCTGAAGCTCATTGTCTATATAAAAGCTTAAGCCGAAATCAGGATGCCAAGAAAGTTCTAGAAAATGCCATTTTCCTTCAGTAAGTTGTGGAACGCTCATTCGCCATGACTTCCGGCCATTATCGACAGTTATGTAAATGTACCCAAGGTTGTAGTACATTTTGATGCCACCATCTCCAGTTGATAACATATACATATTATAGTCATAATCGTTAATTCTTACCCAGAAAAATATGGATATACCAAAATTACAGGCGTCTAAGTTAGTGAAACATTGATCATTCCGTTTACCGAGATCAATGTACTGGCGGTTCCCGCTTAATTGTAACGCATTGCCGAACTTTCCGGGTACCAGCAACGGATTTCCTTTTAGCATTACCGGAAATGAACCGTATTCAATCTGCTGTCCGCCATCTTTGATCGCCTCCATATCGATAAGGTAGTTTGTTGGCTTGCCTAAAAAAAAGATGTCATGAATTTATTACAATGTAATATTTCTGTTAATATACATGTATAGGATAATAACGCAATGCTATACCGAGTGTTTCAAACCTCTAAAATTGGTATTTGATTTTTAGAAATATTTTAATAATTTTCTTAAAGCAACATCTTTCTACAAACATTTTTTTCTTATTTCAAATTGTTGTGTTAGGTTTTAAATGGTGTCTTAATTTGCTTCCAAACCAAATCGCTTGTTTGTCAGTTGGCCATTTTAACATTGAATATGATAAAATATATACATGAAACTTTATAGAAATAATAATCAATGTCAACACCATCTGTAGGGGTTTCATTTAAAAAGATAATCATGCACATAATTGCAAATGTGTTATTACCTCTGAAAATATAACCGAACGCCAGTAAATAATCACGTGACGCATACCAGAATTCCATTTCATCAAAGGTGGCAGCACCATATTCACCTCCGTTTCCGGCGTTATTGTTTTGGCCTAAAATGAACTTGTCGCTGAACTGTGACAGGCCGTCCCTATCCACTTCTAATAATAAAAAGGACAGTTAAATAACACAAGCAAATATTTGACATATCTACGAAGAAAAATGGCAACAACAACGCAACAACAACAAAATCTAAACACTGAAATGAACCCAAATTGCATGTAGTTCTTTGTTCGAATATTTCCTCGTAAGGATACGCTTATAATTTAATGATATTTTTTTTTATTGAATGAATAGATGTACTTGATTTTACGTTGTAATGCCGATTTTTGTAGGTTTTTTTTTTTTTTTTTTTTTTTTTTTTTTTATAAAAAAAAAGCTTATTGACGGTACTGTAAATTGCAAGCTACCGTTCATGCACCCTAGCACCGGCTTAAATAGAATTCATTATTCAACTATGAATATCAATACTGGATAGTTACAGAGACACTTAATTGAATTTACAAAAACTACTTTTTCAAAATTGAGCATCAATATAGATTTTGTTTACTTATATTCTTATAAAAATGCCATTAAACCATTTGAAACATCTTTCCGGCTTTTCTATACAATTGTCGTCTGCTAAAATGCTTTTAGGTTAACGAACATTTTCTTACCCGCCGGGTACCTGTCTCCTTCTATCAATTTATTATTTACGTATAATTCCAGACCATTTTCTTCTGACCACGTGATCTCAAGGAAGTACCACGTGTTCGCCTGCATTTGTGACATCATAAGTTCCCAAATATAAACTGAATTACTGATTCTTATTTTGAATTTTCTATCCATGTAAGACAGGTCTACGCCATTTCTTCCAGTAGATAAAAAGTACATGCCTTCTTTTGCATCTTCCGGTCTAAAATAAAAATATATTTGAATAACCAACTGTCCAAAATGAAAACAAGTGTTTGTGAATGATCTGTATATAAAGTTTTCATTATGCAATAACTAGGGAGTAAGAAGTGAGCTTTGTTTATGGAGTGAGTAGTGCTCGGTGAGTAATATTCGTGGTGTGAGTAATGCTAGGTGAGTAATGTTCATGGTGTGAGTAGTTTTCATTGAGTAATGTTCATACAGTGAGTAGTGTTCAGTGAGTAATGTTCATGACGTGAGTAGTGTTCTGTGAGTAATGTTCATGGTGTGAGTAGTTTTCAGTGAGTAATGTTCATGGTGTGAGTAGTGCTCGGTGAGTGATGTTCATGGTGTGAGAAGTGTTCGGTGAATAATATTCATGGTGCGAGTAGTTCTCAGTGAGTTATGTTCATGGTGTGAGTAGTGTTCGGTGAATAATATTCATGGTGTGAGTAGTTCTCATTGAGTTATGTTCATGGTGTGAGTTGTGCTTAGTGAGTTATGTTCATGGTGTGAGTTGTGCTCAGTGAGTGATGTTCATAGGGTGAGTAGTGTTCAGTGAGTTATGTTCATGAAGTGAATAGTGGTCAGTGAGTAATGTTCATGAAGTGAGTAGTGTTTGAGTGTTGATGGGACGAGTAGTGCTCAGTGAGTAATATTAATGTGATCAATGAGTTATGTTTATGAAGTGAGTAGTGTACAGTGAGTAATGTTCATGGAGTAAGTAGTTAGTGATGTAAATTGAGTGAGTAATACTTAGTAAGTTATGTACATGGGGGTTTGTAGTGCTCAGTTAAAAGTATATGTTGAAAGTTGTTTAGAGAATGAGAAATGTTGAGAGACTGATGTTGTCTCTAATAAGAAGAAGTGATTAATTTTTGACCGTGCGACCACATACACGCATCACAAAATTGTCCTCCTATGTTAAGGAGGACAGAAAAAAGGCATCCTCTTACCGCCCCTTAAATATCTAAGGGTCAAGTAATAGATGTCAATTCAAATTGTCGTTCAACATTCAGGCGATTTGCCCGAGATAACAACAAACTGCTTAAACAGTTGTTTTCACACTTATTTACAATGACTTTATATACAGATTCATTTATAACAAACCGATGGTTTATAAAATTGCATATTTTTAACACTTAAGTAGTTTTAAAGCTGTGAACGTTAAACGTTTCTTAAACGTAAAACTAGACAGAAATTAGACAATAGGAAGTACCATGTCTTTGCCCGAAGGGGTATTCTATCGTCAAAAGTATATATTTTATTTACTGGAAGCTGATAAATATATTTTAGCCATTACTTTATGAAGGTAGCAACCTTAACTTCTGGAACATTTGACTGCATTTAGCAGAACATTTCAACAAATAACATTCAAACAGTCCAATTTTCTGATAACTCCTACAATTGATATTTTTGGTTTAAGAAACAAGAGGCTGGCCTATTAATAAAAAGGTTATTTTGCCAATGGTGATATACGTTGAAAGTATTTCTCAATAAATAGTTAAGTGAAATAGCATCCATTTTGTGAAACCATAAATATATTGCGAGCTTATGTCAGAGATTGTCATGGGACCAGGACTATTTTATTTTAAATTCTTGAACAATTTCAATACGTTAAAAATGAAAAGAAATGTCATAATCAAAGATTGCATTACCTTATAAAAAAGATCTAGAACAACTTATTATCTGTAAGATAATGTTGTGTCGGCATTTGATGAAAATAATGTATTTTGTGTTTATCCTTACGTTCATAATTGACAAAAAAATTCAAATTGTCATATGGCAATAAGCAGTTATCTCAGTGTTATGAAGTTAGAAAAATAAACCGACATGTTATTCAGATGTACCGGTGGATATCCTTCCATACCAGTAGTCTTGGTTTACAGATTCTTTAGTAGGGGAGACAACCTTCTAACCTTACATACAAGTGAAAACACTTATTATCTCCCTCTAGAACGCATATCACATGTACATGCGTTGGTAGATACGACATTGTCGTCTGTTAAAATACTTTTAAAAACAATGGAAAAAGGGATTGCTAATTAGATCATAAGTAATATGTTTACAAATCCTTTCAACAGAGAAAATTTATCTGTCTATAAATAACTAGGTCAGAGTTCAAACTGTTTTTTAAACTTTTATTAAAATTTATTTACCTGAACCAAAATGACAGCAGAATTCCATGGAAACAGTAATCTATGTTCCCTAAACAATCGTCTCCATTGTCAAAATAAGCTTTTTGCTGCGTCCCATTTAGTCGTAGTGCTTGACCTACTTTTCCGGGTACCAGCTGAACGTTTCCCTGAGTTTCAATCATGGTCGAGGGATGCTTGATTCTTGTCCCGTCCATTTCATCAAAGCCAAAGTATTTGTGTTGTGGTTTTTCTGAGCGTGTGTGAAAATATAGGGATGTACGATCAAAACATAAAATATATTTAATATCAAATATTAAACTTTCAAGATTTGAATTATGTCACACACGTTACATAAATATGAATACATTGACCGTGTGTTTAAGCTCTAATAAAATTGTGCTATTCAGCCAAGGACTAAATTATACTATTGGATTTCAACATAATGTCTTTTACAGACTTTTAAATATAAGCTTATATGCACAAAGATGAATTTTTTATATTCAAACAAGATATGAAGTATGAAAATATTTTAAAGTTTTTGTTGCTGTTTTTTACCTCTATGAATGAAATCTATCGCAAGCAGACGTTTAATATCAGAGTTGTATATACGAATATCATCTAAGGAAGCCGCTCCATATCTTTCATTAGAAAGCATGTTTGTATTTGCTCGACCGATGTAAAAATTATCATATCCCGATGGTCCGATTTGATAATGGTTGCTTGCTGGCTGCGATATTTTTAGAATTTGGTCCACATATATCTCCAAACCGGTAGTAGGATTCCACGTCACTTCCGTAAAATACCATATACCAGTCTGTACATCGGAAGCGGAAGCTTGGTACTGGCGGTCGCCATATTGGACGTTTGCGTAAAGTTTTGTTCCGTAGGTAAACAAGGAAAAACCTGTAGGTCCTGAAGCTATGTAGTATGCATTACCTTCCAATCTATTATACTTTATCCATAGTGATATAGTAAAGCCATACATGCACAGTGTTGTGTTTCCTAAACAAGTGTCTGCGAAATAACCAAGGTCGACATATTGTCCGCGTCCTGGAAACTGGACAGCTTTGTCTATTTTACCGGAAACTTTCCTCAAACGGCCTATGGTTCTTGGTTCCAAGGTTTTTGTAACGAGTTGCCCGTCGTGTAATTGGTCCATTGTAAGGTGATATTGGTATATTGGTCCTATAAAAGAACGACATAGATTTATTAATTCTTACATAATATGAAAAAGGCAAAGCCTCAAAGCGAGCTCGATGTACTTTTTACGTGAAATAGTATGAAACAATCTCAAATGCAGTGACGAGACGGAGTGCGTGTGACGTCACACGTACTGTGTTAAATATGAACCCCGTCCCTGTCGTGAAATGAATACGAGTTTTGAAAAACGTTGATAAAACTTTGTTTGTTTTATTTCACTCTATAATTTTTCAAGCGAAATAAAGTTTATTTTAAGTGAAATAAATGTAAAAACTTTAAACGTTTGCGACATTAAAATAGCGTACTTGATTTGTTTGTTTTGCACGTGCTGTTTGGCGCTACATTGTGACGTCACGTAAACAATACTTTAAACGTCTGTACAGCGTTAACGACTGAATAAAAGATATTGGTGTTCGGATTCATTTTCTTAGTTAGACCATTTTCTTTCATTCTAGATAATTTTTACAACAAAATTCGACAAAAAATTGTTTTTATTTATCAGATTTCAAACAAAAATGGCGCTTTCGATTTTCATTTTTTATACACAGCTTCCGTTATTCTGGTTCCCTGTCCAATTATGGTTCCCGATAGACGTGCGCAGGTGACCAGTCTACACATCCGTTTTCAGTCAGAATTCCTCAGTTTTTACCGTTATCTTTAAATTCGAAAGGTTGCGATGTGTCCAATTTGGTACTTTGGACGAAAGTTTTCAAAACCATCACTTAGCAGGTACTCGCGTTACCGTAAAGCTCGCTTTGCGAGCAGGCCCTTCGGGCCAGCTCGTCGAGCTCGCTATTACAGAATGAAAGTTTATCTAAACTTACGGAAACCTATCAACTATGTACGGTCAAGTTAACCTATCAACTATGTACGGTCAAGTAAACGCTATCTTGCATTAGTTTTACAAGCTTCAAAAGGCGATGGAAGTAAAAAAAAACTCATTTATATAAGGTCAATGAATTATTTTTGTATCGCACAAAACAAAACAGTTTTGGCTTATCAGTGTAAAACATATAACCACACTGAGATACCCATCGTAAGGGATTTGCCAGTTTTTAAACATGAAGTGTACAGAAACAACATACATAATATGAACATAAAAACTCAAAATATATATTGTTGTTATTGTACCAGATCTCTTAAAAGAACAGTAGTAAGTGTAGCTGCAAGACTGATTCTTTGTAAAGTATTAAAGGGGACTGCACTGAAGATTATTTTACACGGCGGGACTGGAAATATTCTCTTCCGAGATTTTTATACCATTTAAAAGGTCTTTACAAATAACTTGTGTGTAAAAATTCAGATCATTCACTCACTCCGTTTTCCCAGAATAATAATTGTATTATGCAAAATGACTTAAGATAAAAAGTGTTTCAACGCTTAAACGCTATTTTCTCAAAACGGGCTAAGTATGCTAACATTTCTATATGACTACATGGGAAACTAAGAACTAGCATATGCAAGTTTACCAGTTTTACTTTGGTCGAGTATCTTGTTTAAAGATACTTCTTATTTTATTTAATTCTGAGTATACTTCTTCCATATCCTTTTCATACTTTCTTTTCAAATACCCTAGCTGATGTTTGAAAAAGTGTTGAATTTTATGTTTTAAGGCTTCTGGACCTGAGCGGACAAATTCTCTATAATTATATTTTATCATGAATAATGTACGCCCACTCAAGGATGTTAGATTTTGTAAAAAAAATACCAGGATTTGGCAATTTGACGCTTTTGTTATCTGTCAGGTAAACAATAACAACTGTTATCCTATGTTTCTGATAACAAACGTCAACCTTCTGATTTTGATACAATTTTAGATATAGTTAACAAAGTGAAGATAACTTCAAACAATTCAAGAGAAACCGTCATCAGGCAATATTATTTTAGACAGAATTAGGCGGTAGAGATATTCCTGAAGCAGACGAACTTTATTTGCTAATTTCACGAACCATCAACTAGACATTGACATTAATGTACTAAGCCTTATTTCGGATTTGCATAATACACGAGAGTTAATTTATGCAAAATTTTAAACGCTCATTAAACACAAGATAGTGTCCTATTTACATAAATATAACTTTAAATAAGTTATGAAGGTTGAATAGATTTATGCTAGAAAAATAAAACAAACCCTTTTCTCTAAGAATGGTTTCGCCCAGACGCATTGACCAGAACTGGAAATCGTCAACTGTCATAACGCCGAGGTCACGTGTCTTTGTGACGTCATTTGATTGGCCAATGAAAAAGTCGTTATATGGCGTGTATGAAGATAAACCGGGGCTGAAAATATATCATATTTATATTTCTTAATTCTTTTTATACCATATTAAATATTTAAAAGAATAAGCTAATTGTAATATGTTCTACTTGACAAAATAGAATCAAAGCACCGAAAGCTCTACTATTGATCGGTATTCCTATACCTCGTGAAACAAAGCAATCATATAAAATTTACAGTGGCATAATTTTAAACTATTAAATACGTTCCATTCGATCTAATTTTAGTATGTTTCTTTTAGGGCTGAAATAATGGTTGATAAATAATTTGAGAAAAAAGTTGCACAGTCTAAACATTAATTGGGATTCTGGTGTAACTATGTGCCTTGGTACTAGCTAGGACATAATTATGTTATGTCCAGGTTACAGTTTGGAACGTATGTCGTTTGGTACAAATGCAAGAATTAAATTCTAAATAAATCTGTTTTACATTATCAAACTATATACATGTAGTTCAAGTATGAAAGATTTACTTTAGAGTTAATGTGTTTTCCTGAGCAACCTTATTTCCGTTGATATAAATGGTAAGTCCCTTGCTTTCTGACCACGTGGCTGTCACGTGGTACCATCTCCGAGGTAAGATATTGCGTGCAGTTGCCCGCCATTCATGTCCGGTCTTTTTTCGGAATATCCATTGCATACTTCCGGTTTCGTACAACATGGCGACGCCGTGAGAACTAACCGTATGACCACCGTTGGAAAGATAAACACCTTTTCCTTTACCCGTTCTGTCGAATTTTACCCACATGCCGATAGTATATCCTGAAAAATGATCTTGTTTTCATTTGCTAAGTAAAGATAGGACCTATAAACGAGTTTGAATGTGCACCATTTTTATTACAAAATTCTTACAAAAATAGTACATGTATAATATAATGTTTAAATAATATCTGTTTCTGCCATCAGGGACCAAAATACTTTCATATCAAAATAATCTATTTCTTTTACCGCAAAGTAAACACACTAAATATTGTATATGTGCCATTGTTTTACCTAAAATAATACATTTGAGAAACTTATCTTTACCTTCGGGGCATAGAGTCAAATCGCCGAAGCACTCATTTCTATGGCCAGGGCCTGACACTTTGATTTTCTGTCGCGCACCATCTATGCGCAGCGCTTTATACACGACGCCGTCTACAAGCTGTGGACTTCCGGTGACCTGCGCGTCCAGACCGGAAGGATTTGGGATCGTGTTGACATTGAGCACGTCCATTGGTAGGTGGTAGTATATGTTGGTGTCTGAAATATAAATGAAATAATAGATCTAATCTGAGCTAAATTTATTCGTAATAAAAGGTTGAAAACCACATTGACCTGCTAGTTTTGATTTATAATTTTCTCTTTGTTAATTATGTGTAAAAAATCCAGCTGATATATAGTACGGTAAAGTGTGTCAAATTTTAGGGAAAATTGCCGAGAGAGTCTTTTTGATGGGTTATACTGTTCAAAATTGAATTCCTACGAGTCTGCAATTAAAATATAATTAACCCATTACTTCATGAGCATTTTGTGGAAAGGGGGCTTTTTCATTGAAAAGTCTCCCGTTACAAGTTCAAATTGCTATAATACTATAAAAACTGATTCAATACTAATCAAACTTGGCACAAATGTTGACCGGACCATTGCCCTTGCAACAACATGCTCAGGCTTAAATTTTGTGTTACCATGGCAACGAGGGGACATATCAAAATTGCCAAAAATCACTATTTTTAATCATTATATAACATCACGTGACGTCACGATTAAAAAAAAACTGAAAGGCACACTATGCATCAGAAATCCATATTTTTTAATTCTTAAGAAATGTCAAACATGTGTTTATTATTGTTTTAATTATGGATTAAGAGCATATTACACGTTTGGCAACTGAAAAAGGTAGCGCTGAACATCCAGTAATGTGTCGTAAACGTAGCAAAATGTAAACAAAGTAGTATTTTGACTTCCATACGAAATACTAATTCAATATAATTATACCATTTCCCAACAAAGCAACATAAGCAAAAGATAGTTAATCTGTAAGGCAAATGAGTAATTTTATTACCGAAAATAAACAGTTTTTGACAAATGAAAATTATAAAAAAAATTTCATTTGATAAGTTCCATTGTGAATAATGTGTTGATTTGACCCACCCTCGATCCTGCATTTAAGGTCCAATTTTTGCCCGAACCCAGGGTCCCATGGTAGCTACCTCAACAAATATGCCATCGCTACCAAAATGAAACAATCTATTTGTGTATTAATCATTTGAAACCCTTGCAGTGTTTCTTATTATTATATAATTTTATTTGATTGCAATGAATTAAACACAAACTATTTACTCTGGTTATGTTGATTTTTTTAAAGATGGGACTTGAACGAGGTTTTCTGGTTGAACAGAATGGGAATTTAGGCAGGATTCGGGTCTCACTAGGATCACATTAGTCCGAAAAGACGACACGAAAACTTCCAATGGTAAGACTCTAGTGACGTCACGAATTTACTCTAGTCGAACCCTCAACATATAGCGCGGTCTGTCTGGTTCCAACATTTTGGCGATTAGATCAACTGGACTGGACATGCGCAAAAAATCAACTTCAGCCAAACAATAGTTACCGCCCGAACCCTGCTTTATTGTAATGATTATGTGGAATTTTGTCAGTTGATTTATGTCACAACACATTAAATGCTGTTAATGATTATCTTGATCATTAAAAACTCCTGTTCCTGCAAGGTACAAATGTACTTATCTGAATTACAAGCTCTGCATTTTATGAGGACATTGATGGAATGGAAAATAGGAGATAATTTGCCAAGAAATAATCAGAGCAAAAAATTTGTCTTCATTGCAGTGTACTGAGTTCATGTCTCATTTGCAACTTTTCGGTCGTTTCCGTCAAACTTCGGCTCAATCGGAACATATTAGCTGGCTATTATCAATATTAATATCCGAAGACTGGTAGAAAAGGCCGAAAACTGCGGATGAAGTTCAGACTTTGTCTTTGAAATTTCTAAATTACTTTCTTGCTTAATACTTTTATTATGTCTTACAAAATATTTAGAAGTGTTAAGGTAGATGGCCCACCATTAAATGTATATTCGCTTTTTTTGGTTGCTATCAAGTATTCAAATCGTTCACTATATAAGAAACAATTCTGTTCTGTTTTGAGGGGTGGGGGGTTGTTCTTGATTTTTTCAATTGTAGGTGATTTTGTTTGTTGTTGTTAGTTATTGTTTTTGGGAATGGAGGTTTGTTGCTGTCGTTTTTTACTGGGTTTTGTTTGTTTCTTTTTTACCGGGGTCCTTGTTATTTTTTTATCGTTTTTGATATCGTTTTTATTCCTGTGTGTTGTTTTGTTTTGTATTTTTGCGTTGCTAAGGTTTCTTTTTATATATTTTCTATGTGAGGGAAGTTTGCTACTGTGCTAAAGATTATTTTGCCTCCTTCTGAACACACCTTAACTATGACAACATGATGCAGCAAAACTTTCAAGTTTGATAGACAGCAAAGATTAGATATTGATTAACAGATGCACGTTAATCTCGTGCTCCGACAGGGAAAACGTTTTGATGATTTAAGAGTTAATAAAATTTAAGTGCAGTTTTGATTGAGTGGATTTCCTGCTCACAGTGATAACTTCTTAATTTTTTTATCATGAGGAAGTGTACAAGTTGCGTTAAAGTTATAAACCTGTTGAACGAGGCTTTTTACATAACATCATATTTTTCATAAATATTCACCATAATTATAAGCATACCCTCAGAGTAAGAGTTAAACGTTTTATGCATCCTAATGTTAGAAATTTAAAGTGAAATGCTCATATTTTTAATTAAAACATCGTTTCAATTAAATTGCGTACATATTTTAATGTAAAGTTGACTGAACTCTTCGCTTTATATATAAAAGTAAAAAAATAAAATGCAATGTAGTCAACAAAAATTCATTTTAGGTTATATAAGTTTTCGTATCTCTGAAAAGGAGGGAGTCTCCGAATTGTTAATTTGTTTGAGTCTACATATAAATTGTTTCTTTTCCCTTAACCGAATAAAAGTTTCATTAATGAAAACATGGGTCTCCATCCTACATTTTTGTCACGTTTTTTTTATAAATTTGTTTCAATCATGGTTTTCTTATATCATGCAAAGTTTAAGAAAAATCTTAACGCCTGTTTAAATTTACCGTCTTTGCCTTTGAAAAAAGGGAGTTCCTGAACGTTCCAATTAGGAGCCTAATACCTTAAGGAAACATGATTTATAATCATTTTGACAGGTTATATGGCGGTGTACAAGCGACCGTTTACAATATAACCATCCGGCCTTAGTGGATCAGGTTATATATGCTTAAAATTGTTAAATTTAGGGCATATAACCTGCCATAAATAACGTATAACCAATAATATAATTAAATACAAAGTTGCTGCTGATTACTTTACCTAGTAATCTCTACAGTTGCATCATTTATCAGCCTCGTTTTAAATCATTGGAACATTTAACATACCTTTATGTTTAGACAACCTAAAAGGTAGCTGGTGTATCATAATTGCAAAGTTCATTACTTACAAATTACCAATTAAACATCATAGAAGTCAGTTTAAGTATAAAGTGGGGGGAGGTTAATAACATACATGAGAAAAAGAAGAAGTTTTTTAATGTTTTTTTATGAAAACGTATGTGAAGTTTGTGTAAAAACCACCGTACTGGAATATATCAATAATTTGCGTAAATTACGGGAGAATTTGAACTGAACAACAGAATATTTCCTCCTATTTCCACTAAAAGTTCTAGATAAATCTGAATAATGTATGAAAAATTATGTATTAAAATCTATTAAATCTATGATAAAATTAGCTTTAAGCTGCAGAATGCATACGCATTTATTGATTATGATGATAATGTTATTGTTGTTATTGTTGTTGTTGGTGGTGGTGGTGATGAGGATGATGATATGATGAAAAAGTATTTACGCCTTTTAATTAACCTGGATATTTATATGTAACACAATTATATATATTAATACAGCAGCCCTTTAAGTATTTTAAATGTTCCAAATCTTGATTTAAACTATAATTTATTATTACGATGCACAAAATGTGTAGGTCTTTTCTGTTTACTCGCCGAACCAACTGTTTTATTGGGTTTTCAAATGGATCTAATCTACTTTAACAAATTTAGAATTTGAGTTTTTGACATAGCAATAAGCATAATTATTAGAAATAAATAAACACTAAATATACAAAATCATAATTATAGTGCATTTATTATAGCAATATTGTATGTGAAAATTTTATGGTAGGATTCAGGAAATAGTTGGTAATCTAGATAACCAAGTCCTTAATCTCCTCCTTTCATGAAGTGATTCTCACTAAAACCATCTTATAAATAACCATTTGGATCACTTAACATTCCATATATCTACACAGTAGTTGACTATTTGTATACTTTATATTAGTACGTTGTACTATTATATTTGGTCATCGTCAAGCTCATATGAAGCGTACACTGATTGTATTTGTTTTGTAAAACAAACTAATTGTGCAAAATCTTAAACGTAACAAAAATACACTAACAATAATGCTTATCAACAATTATTCCTTTTTTTTCTCTTGTTAATGTTTGGTGTTGTTGTTGTGTTTTGTTGTTCTATTTTCTTTTTCATTTTATTTTTTATGTTTGTTTTTTCTGTCGGCCGGACATTCGTTCTTGCGTCTGTCTTTCCGCCCGATTTTATGTGAGACTGCATGATCTTTCCGTTTATTTGTTTGTTTCCCAATAATTATCCTAAAATAACATTCTCGCACACTGATTTCACATTCAAAGTATATACAACTTTTGCAGAACAACCCCCTTTGGAAGACAAAAAGATTTTGGTTGCTTTAAAGAGGTGTTGTTTTAAAAAGGTTAGCTTTCATGTAAAGTCTTACTTTGCTATTAATGTTAAAAGGTACTTATTCTACGAAAGGGCCGCTCTGTTGAAGTGAGGTGTATTACACGGAATCGTTCTGCCGTTTAATACTAGTATTTCTTGCACACGTTTTCTTACAAAATATTTTCTAAAAACTTTTCAACTTTGATAAATAAGAAGAAAGTTTTTTAATTGGCAACACATTTTACACGTATGATAAATGAACATGTAAATTCTAAAAAAAAATCTAGAGGAGAACATTGACATATCATTAGTCAAACTTCAGTGTGTTATTTTATCTGATACTTTCGTGTTCGAATTGTCTATGATGTAGCAGTTATTTCTGTAAGAATTTGTTTA